GTGGGTCACCAGAGTTGGTTTTACTCAGTCAACTCTAAACAGGACGACTCCAGGGACTGCCCCCAGAGAAGTACCTGCCCCAGAGAAATATCTGCCCTTCCATCCCCGGAGCAGCTGATAAATCTGTTATTTCTAAGCAAAGCAGCAAACAGGAGATCCCAGTCCTGACAAAGCCTATTTCAGCTCCAAGGCTGGGGCGAGGGATTTCAAACTCAGTCTCTCTGCCTGTCCGTGAGATATCTGGGCTCCTCTCCTGTGCCAGAGAAGCCACCAAGCCAGATTTTGTTTATAGAAAATTAATAAGACAATTCCACACCACTGCCAGTGACATTCTGCTCCAACTGCTACTGTTCACACCGTTTCTAGAAACGGGCTTATAGTTTCACTCCCGACAACCCCCCACTCCTTGCCCCTCAGACATGTGGCAAGGCTGACCCGACCTGAGACCAAGATGGGCAGGAGCTGCTCGAGGTCACCTGGGCCATGCCCCGACCTCCAGGCAGGAGGCCGGCTTGCCGGCCAGCACTTGCCGGCTTCTTGGTGCAGGCTTCCCGCTGGAGGGACGTAAACATGGCATGCACACTGTCTGCTCCCGGGAGGGCAGACACACTCAGAGGCCGGGACGCCTGCTGTCTCTCCAGCTCCCCAGACAACCAACACATGCACACAAGACGGGGTACGTACACAAGCCCCCGCATGCGGGTGCACAGGGTCCTGACCCCCGCCAAGGAAAGCGCAGAGAAGGGCATGTTTCCGGGGGAGAAAGCCGGAGGCAGGGGCTGGCGGAGGGAGGAAGGCAGCAAACCGGGTGGCCTGCCGCCCAGACAATAACAAAGATGGGAAGCGAGATTTTCAAAGACGCAGTGGCTGCACCCAGCGCTGAGCTCTGGCCTGGCCGCATCCTCCTGCCAGGGCACGCCTGGTCCCCTGGGGCACCACGGCCATCAGAAAAAGGCTGAGGGTCCTGCCTCAGGCTGGGCTTGGCAGCTGGGGCAGGAAACCAGCTGCAGGCAGCAGTGGGGATGGATGCATTGGAGAGCACCTCTGGGCTGATGGAAATTAAAGGTCTAGTGATTCTCCCAGGGGGTGGGAGGGGTACTCTCCAGGAAGATGCTAGGGGTCAAACAGCCACTCAACCTTGGGCAGGAGTTGGGCTATAACTTGTACTCCTCTGCCTGCTGGAGCCAACGGGAAGGAGAGAGACATTTTTATTCTACCTGTGCCTCCCCTACAGGGAGTGCCAACTTGCCAATCATACACAGGGGCACAGCCCTATGAAGGCAGATGCCAGGGGCCTGAGATGTCGGGGCTGAATGCTGAAAAGGCTCCTTGGTGCCTGCCTGTTCTTTCACCTCCACTAGCCGAGCAGGGACGTGTTCTAACTGGCACCGGAATCCATCACTGTGCCTGTGCCCAAGTGGAAAGGTGCCGTGGCTGGTACCGCTCACGGAGGGGGACCTGGGCCCCGAGGGACCGTGTCTGCCCAGTGCCCCCGGAACACGGACAGGATGGCTTGCCCTTGCGAGCTGAAGCCTGCTCTGTTGCTGGTGACTGGGAGCAGGCTGAACCACCTTCTCCCTCTCCTCCTCTGCCCAACAAGCCACCTCCCCCTGGAATTTCCACACCTGCTCCAGGCTTGCCCAGGAAAAGGAAACAGGGAACAGGAGACACCCCTGGGAGTGGAGAGGTGAGGGAGGCAAGCAGCTGCCCAGGCTGGAGAGGACGAGGCCCTTCTCCCCTAGCCTCAGGCGATGCCCCTGAGCTCAGAGCCCCGGCACTGCCCCCTGTGCTCACCCCAGCCCCCAGCGGAGCACGCGCCCTACTTAGAGCAGATGTGCCCCCTAAGCGGCCCAGCCCCCTGCTCCTCCCCTCCAGATGTTCACCCTTTTCCTCACCACTGAGTCTCGGCAAAACCCAGCCGAAAATGCCTTTTGTATCGGACACCCGGGGGCTCCAGAGGCAGGGGGATGGGTCCTGGGGGTGGAGGCGCCACTTCGGTCCCCAGCGCCGGGCACCGCACCGCCCGGGAAACAATGCCCACCTCGGCGAGGCGAGGCAGGACTTCTAGGCGAGGGCACTTCCCGCCCGGCCTCGCCCGGGGCCGCGGACACCCCCTCCTCACCCCGCGGGGAGAGAGAAAGGTCCTCCCGCCGTGACCCCCCCGTCCGAGGTGGCCCCACAAGTTGCCGGAGGGCGGGCGTGCTGTGCCCTCCCGCTTCCAGCGCGCCCCAGCCCCGGCTCTCGCTTTGTCCCCGCGCCCTCCGGGGCGCATCCCGGGGCGGCGGCGCGCGGAGGCCGGGCCGGGCGCTGGCGGCGGCGGGCTCACCTCTCATTGTCCGCGGCGGCGGCGGCGGCGGCGGCGGTG